CTGCTTCCTCCTCTTGAAACTCTTCCTCAATACCATCAGTATCATTATTATCAGTTTCCTTTTCATTTGACGAGATACCTGATGCACTCAATTCATTATCTTGTTGAGAAGTTATTTTATCTTCATGTCTTAAATGTTGAAATTTACTATTATAAGCACTACAGAAAGTATAAAAGAACGTTCCTTCAAAATTGCTATTATAATCAAACTTGGTATTGACATCAAAAAGAAATTTGTTTGCTTTTGGGAAAGATGAATTTGTAGTATAAGCGCGTTGGTAGATTTGTTGTCCACGTTTTGGTTCTTAGTTCTTAACGGTTGTTTGTTTTTTTTACATTTACATGAATCCTGTTGAAAACAATATAAGCACCTTGAACATGAGTAACAGGTTCCAGGAAGGTATTTGCAAATAAGATTTTCTTCCATTTGAGACGCGAAAGAACTTCATTAAACTTCTAAACTTCTATTTTGCTCAAAAAGGTTAGGCTCGATTTTTTGTCACTTTTAGCAATTTGTTTTCGATTGTTTTCGGTTTGTTTTCGGTGTTTTTCGGTTAATTAATTTTAATTGATCAAAAAATCACCTGATCACAGTAATTCGAAAATGGCGATAATATAAATAAACATTATCATAAGTTTTAAAATGTTAATAATTATAAAATTTACAATATTTACAGTTTTTTTTTAAAAAAATTATTTAAATATATAGTCAAACCTTTCTAAATATATATATTCCAGTGAAAATTTGAAAATTATGTATTTGAAAAAGGATATTATTTTAGAAAAATACATACTTTATTAAAGATAGCATAATAATTACCAGAAAACATTACAATTCTATTGCAACTTACAATTAAATTTAATTAAGTTGATCACAGAAGTGACTATTAATTTTCGGGATTTTATTCCCAAATATGTAATAATAATTTAATTCCGTATAAATATCAAAAAACAAAATAAAATTCTTTCGTAAATTTAACTTTATAATATTTTATATTAAAGCTCATAATTATTATCGTTATAGACTTTTAATTTCTATAAAAAAAAAATTATTACAAATATTTTATAAAAACTTTTATTAATACATTTGTATATTTATTGTAATCAGCGTAATTGATATAATTAATTTTTAATAATTTACAAATTGTATAACCAATATGGTCACAAAGAAAATAAATCACGTTGCTACAGTATATCTTTGTATAAGCCCTTCCTATTATTCAAATATGCCAAATTAACAAAATGAAGTTATTAAAGAACTTCATGTTATTTATGAAAAAAAAGAAAGTTGCTTTCATTTAATGTTTGTTGAACTAATATAAACTCGTAATTGACACTATTTTAGAAGTATGATGAAACTACCGTCATAAAAAAATTGATGCGTATAATAATCTAATATTAGACAAACATATTTCAGTATTTTTAAATGAATAACTATCTAAGATTATAACTGTCGCACATTTTTTTTTTAATTTTAATATATTTGGAATTGCCGGTAAATAGATTCTGCCATGAGTTTATTTTTAGAACGAGATAAATGGATTTTAAAATTCAGGTATATTCCTATACCTGAATTATATACTAATATACAAACTGTCGTATAAGGCAAGATAACAAAGAAGTTGAATGTGTTTCGTAAAGATTATCTTCCTCATTATTGATAATCTCTTCTATGGGATTGAAAATATCAACTTTGAATTAATTTTAGCTTAAAAATCATTGTGCTTGAAAATTAAATAATCGTGTCACTATAAATATAAACAAAAGAAATCTATTTTCCGGGATGTGCAACCTAAAATCTGATTTACGAATATCATCTAATTCTAATTATTTTTTTTTTTAAAAAAAAAATCACATTGATAAAGAAAAGTCAAAAAGCACATTTTCCAAAGAATTAGCATAGGCTCTTATTTTTTCGACTAATCTTTTAACTTTCGGCTCTGTTTTGTCGCCATAATTGGCTAATTTTTTTGTTTAAAAAAATTAGACAAGAATATTTGTTAATTTCACATAAACAAACACATTCCGTTCAAAAGCTTTCCAAAGATTATATTTGCTATCAAAAATGATCGTAGATTTAATAAAAAGCTTACTATTATCAATACCATCGTATATACTCAGTAGCCTACCAGCTATCGCAACAATTGGTGCTTCCCCAATGCGGGGTTTTTTGGAGAAGCTCATGTGGGTATTCCGATGTCTTGGTTGTCCATTTACTGGGCTGTATTATACATGCAACATCAGTAATGATGAGGCATCATTATGTATATACTGGCTTGAAGCACAGTATTTTAGATTAACGGGGGGCAACCATGACGAAGAAAATTTCAAAATTGAAGGTCTACCCTACAGACCTTTAGGAATTCATTATAAAAGCCCAATTCATGGACAATTTACACAAGAGATAAATGATATAATAGAAGAATGCACAGCACAAGCATCTGTTCTTGAAAGGCTATCATCATTACCCCCAGCATATTATATGGGCGTCGGTATATTTGCCGGAATATCACGATTAATAGAATCTCGCGATTGTGAATTTATGCCACATATAACGTTGGCTTTATCATGGACATTTCCTGCAATTTTCAGGAGAATATTTGGAGGGATCCTTGTTGTAAAAGATCCTAACGAAAAATTTAAAACTTACGCAGATAAATGCAAAAGAAAAAATAAGAAGAAGAACAGACGGAATAAAAAGAATAAAATGTTAATACCCAAAATACCCGTGAAATTCAGTGATGATCCTGAATTTAAAAAGTTTTTAAACGATTGCAAAAGAATAAATAAGAAGAAGAACAGACGGAATAAAAAGAATAAAAAGTTGATATCCAAAATACCCGTAAAATACAGTGATGATCCTGAATATTTATACACAATTTTGACTGGTATAATATCGATAGTAATCCCTTGGACTGTTGTAATCATGGCCAATTTGACGCCTCCAGTTGGCTGTCTCTACCGGTGCAAATATTTAAGTGCTCTGGCGTCCACATGGTCATTTAATAGTTTCTTGGCAATGGTACAACACTTAATGGGAGAGCAAAGTGTGAAAGGTAATAAGTATCTACATATATGGTTTAGCATTAGCGGTGTAATAATTGTTCTCCTTTTGTCTGCTTTTGTCGTGATAACCAGCATTTCATTGTGGGTAGATCTTTTTGGAGATTCTTGTTCATGTACAATCGTACATGAAATGAATGAGTAATTATAAATCCTATATATTATTATTTAAAATACATAACTACAGTTTCATATTGTTATCACATATAATAAAAAAACTTATGTAAAAGCAATTTGATTCTAAGAACTCAATTTTATCATGAATATCATCAATTCATGAACCTTCCGCAATGCAATAATGAAAAACTTATACAAGATAACCAATTTGTTAGCTTGAGTTAATTAACGTCTACCAAGTTATTCCATCTTTTACTAATCTCTGATGTCGCTTGCAATGCTGATTGTATTTTTTATGTAAATCGTTTCTATATACAATACTAAAATCTGAAAATATAATTTTTAAATCCACACTTTTTTTAGGCCTAAAAACCCGGTTGATCAATTGGTTAAAATTTAACGCTATAAATTTGGTCAGAGAACCTGGACAAAATAAATTTTGCAGGATCTTGCCGGAATTTTCAGTTGGTCACAAGATCAGAATAAATAATAAATAAACGAAACCTTTACACATTTAACATTTAAATACACGACTAATAATACAAGGTATTTATCAATTTGACGAGTTGTCAAGCCTTCTAAAGATTTTCGATTTTTTGCCATCTAATATGCATTGAAAGCACTGATGGCCCTAATAATTCTCTTCGACCAATCCCTCATATTGTTTTACTCCCCAGTTTAGGACGAACGGTTCTATCACGAAGGCTACAACTTTATCGATATATATGTGTAGGCAAGTCATATTGATAATATCCATGAATTTTGAAAGGTGAGTTTTACTTAGTATTGCTGACAGTCTATTATATAAAAGTATTATTAATTTGGTTATGGTACGACTTGTCTAGTTAGTTAGCTATTAAAGGTCAGTGTTTCACTGAAAATAGAATTGTCGGGATAATAGATTTTAAAAATTGTGAAAATATGATATATATGAGAACATTGATGTTAATTATGACTTATTGGAAATGGCATCACTCTTTTATATTTATTGGTAAATTAATATTAAAGAATTTATTTTCATAAAAAATGTGTTCTTCGAACCTTTATTTAATAATTGCAAGAAAAACATTGAACGATTATATAAAGGAACCAAAAATATAAAATAATAAAATAATTTTATACAGTTATTCAGGGATGAAAAACCTTAAGCATTCTCTCGTTGCATAACAGAATTTGTTCATCTGGATTTGAAACTAATAAGAAAAGAATTAATTAATTAATTAGTTAAATATTATAAATAGGCTAGTCTTTTACTTACTAGTGGATTTTGTATATAATGAAGTTATAATATTATTAGGTTCTGAAGGATCCTGTTCTATAAGCAAAGTTGCAGTAAAGTCGAGATTTCCCTTTTCAACTGGGCACATAGATCCGCTTGGCTCGACAAATAATTTACAAAAATCAGCTTCATGTTCAAATTTCCTTTAGGATCATGATAAATCCTCATTAATGCACCTTTTTCAATAACAACTGTTGTTTTGCCGACTATACGAACTGTAATATTTTGACTTGTGACTAACGGATTTGGAGAATTGACATTGAAGTGAGAGTTATTGGATAGTTGTTGCCTTTGCACAGTTTAAAGTCAACGAGTGAGTCTTTAAATACATCGGAGTTGATTTTGCGAATGATGTGAGGACTAGTGCTCCTACCGGGTCAAGTCGGGTCGGGTTTAGAGAATATATTCGACTCGACCGAATAAAAAAGGAAAGACCCGTAAATATTCAGGTTAACACATTTTTATAACCTGAACCCGACTTGACCCGAGTATAATTTAACTCGTTTAACCCGAATCAAACTGGAGTTTTTATTAAATTTTTTTGTTAATTATAATATATTTTATCAATTTCTAAATCATTCCAATTAAAAGTTTTATTGCAAAAAGAATGGTCTACAAGACAATGATCATGATCGTCAAGTAGGTCGCACAACTAAAAACTATCACGAACTGACATTCAGTTAATATGAACTTTATTTAAAACTTGAAAAATAAAATATTTACATCACGATAGAATTCATTAATATTCAATTAGTAAGAGTTTAATTAAAATTCAAAACTTTATTAATTGTATTGGCAGAAATTTAATAAAACTTTATTTCTGTCAGGATTTTAAGCACATGCATGCACTAATTGTATTTGCTTTTAAATTACATCTTTTAGCAGCTACCAAATCAGCTCCACCAGAAAATGCTCTTTCTACTGGAACACTTGTTGCTTTTGTTAATTATCAAAACAAATTAATTAGTTAATGTAATGATAATACTCAATAATTTACTAATAATATTATATATAAAACTTTTACCTGTGATTGCAATGTAGTCTCTAGCCATTTTGGCTAAGTGTGGATATACTGCTTCATTTACCTAGAAAAACTATATATGTTAATTAAATTGAAATTATATAATTTAATAAGATATGTATTATACCTTCCACCAAAGTAAAATATCTTGCTTTGATTCAGCCTGAGGTGCATTTAAATATAAATCCAAACATATGGTTAAAAAAATCACTATTTTCATTATTAGTATTTTCGTTACTTAGATTTTCAGGAGTTTCATATTTAGTATTATAAATATTAACAACTAGTTTCTTTGGCGATATGAATAAAATTTTGTTTCCATTTGTGATCTTCATAATAACCTAATTTTAGCCGTAGATCAAGCACTATAAAATTCAATTATCTATTACTATCAATTTAAAGAATAATAAAGTAAATTTAATATTTAACTTACCAGTAGCAACTGTATAAATAGTTTTATCATCTGTTTTTGTATAATATTTTTCTACCTTTTCTATACCTGCTTTAACAGCAATTACTATATCACTAGAACTATTATGATCATCACAATATTCCTCAAGTTCGTCAATTAAATAATTATATAATGATACAGCTGAAGAAATCATTGGATATTTTGCAGAAGAAATTACACTAGTTGTATTTATAAATATCTATATATAATATAAAAATAACTATAATTAAACCTTTAAAGTTTAACCTAAAAACATTATCAATAATTTGCTTACCATTAAAACAGATACAACCTCTTCAATTCTATTTCATTTATCTTCATTAAGTTCAAATTTTCGAAGTTCTTTATCTGAACTTGCAATTGCATCTAATGCATGTAACAATAATATAATAAAATCTAATATTAAAATATAAAAAAATCAATAATATATAATAATAATGTATACTCTAACCTCACACATTTTCAGTACGCGTTCAAGCATATCATGTCTTGTTTTCACATCTAAAATAAGTTAGAGTTATTTAAGTTTAGTTGCTTCAGCTTGAAGTACAAATCGTTCTCAACGTTATGGTGATGATCATATTTTAACTATAAGTTTGCGAAGCTAATTAAAATATAATAAATTAATAATTAATATACTTTAAAAATAGCAATTAATATTTAATAATATATTATAAAATATAAAATATTATCTTTGGAATTACATCTCCAGTAGTTATTTCCAAATCTAATATAATATCTCAGTTTCAGCTTCACCTGCTTTTATTTGTTCCAGAATATCCTATACAACTAAATTCATAACATGAGCAATACAACAACAATGATTACCAATAGCATCAAAATTAATACTTTTATTTTGACAAGTATTTTCTAAATATTTCATAAAAGTATCATTGTTTGAAGCATTGTCACTTGTAATTGCAAAAATCTGTTATAAATAAATAATTTTATCATCATACATTCTCAAAGATTAAAGATTAATAAAATATATAGAAAATTTACCTTTTTTAAAATTCCAAAATCATTACAACTTTTTACAAAAGAATTGCAAATATTTTCACCAAAATGAGGACCAGAAAGTTTTAAAAAATCAAGTAAACTATCACAAAGTTTCCAATCTTTTGAAATCTAATGTATTGTAATAGCTAAAAATCTATAACCATATATTGATATCCATGCATCATGAGCAAATGAAATTCTGCCAGGAATATTCTATCAATATTTATAAATATAAGTTTGAGAAGAATTTATAATTATTTTTACATATACAACTATTACCTTAAACAAAATTTTTCTTTTTTTTTGCTCCTCTTCAAAATTTTTTATTATATCTTTTTTATAGTATCTGTTTTAGGAACTAATGCATCTGAATTCAAGACCTTCACCATATTTCGAAAATGTTTATTTTCAGTTATTGTAAATGGCTGATCATTAGCAATTATCCATTTAGTAAGAAACTTACTAAATCTGTTTGTATAAACTTAAGAATAATTGTATAAACAATAATAATAATAATGTAAAAATATATTTATAATTTATAAATCATAATAATTAATTATACTTACTACAGGTGAAATCTATATTTGACCTACAAATTCATCTAATGTACTTTGACCTTCTGAATTTTTTTTTGCTCTTTTATTGGACCTTGGATCTTTTTCTGGATGATGAACTTCTATATAATGCCAAAGATTAGTTATATTATAATCACTAATTTTATGGTTCCAGGTTTTTGATTTTTACAATTTTAAAAGAAATATAGCTAATAATTGATATTTATGCACAATGAATTGGTAGTATCATTAAAGAAATTTATTTACTTACGGACAATTAAGATACTGAACTTTTCTATGAGTTTTGGCATCTTTATGATCTGGTGAAAGATTTCTTTCTTCAAAGAAATCTTTAGTAAAAAGATCACTACGCAACGCTTTCTTTTTCTAAGACGTCAAGTTAGTGAAGTTGTTGGTTCAGTTAAATCAATAGACATTGCAGAAAAGTTGATTGAATATCAGGTGAAAAAAGATTTAGATAATCAAATCAGTTTAATGATCTTTCGGGTTAATTCAGGTCAAAATCCAGGTCAAGAAAATATATGATTTGACCCATCAATCAGGTTATGTGGGTCACAAGCCATCAAAAAATGTTAATACTGACTTGACCTAAAAATGCGAGTCAGGTTAAATTACTTGGGTTAACCTGAATTTATCAGAGTACTAGTGAGGATCAAGAAAATATATAGTAAAATTATAATATGACTCATTTTCAAAAATTTGTTTGTATTTGAATTGAAAATAAGAGGGAGTTTAAAAAATTTAATTATTTTTAATTGAAATTTAGAAAAGAAATAGCGACGCTAGTTTATATTTGTAGAAATGAAGTCAGATAAAGATTATTAGATCTTTAACGTCTTATTGTTTTATTTCTTTATTTGAAATTAAAAAAAAAATAAACTAACCTTTTTTTTTGATGGATTTTCTTGGCAACAGTGTAATTGCAGATTTCCATATATGGGTGATCAACACTTTACAGAATATATAATTTCTTTTTTTAAAAAAAAATTGGTTATCCCACATACGTATATTTAAATTTATACCGTTTAATTGATAAGTTAGTTCTTAAGATTCTTGTAAATTCAATAAAATTAATTTACTTTATGAATAACATGAAAAATCAAGAAAATTCCAAAAAAAACATGCAACCCATTTTTCAAATATATATATTTTTTTTTGTGATTGGTTTTAAAATAAATGGACCTTAAAGAATTCTTTCATTTGATTAAATAATGCAATTTTGCAAAATGAGAACCAAAAATAGAATATTCTATTTTTTTAAATCTATTTTCTCATTGTTCTAATCATTTATTGTTTAATTGCTTTTTTCAAAATGACAATAAAAATAACCTTATATTGAAGGCGTGATCCATCTACGCTGATTAACTATAGTCAATCATGTAATTTGGATTGGTTTACCGATCTGACCGATATGACAAATTAGACAAATCTGATAAATATAACATATTAGTTATATTTTATTGATCTCCAGATTATTATATTTATTATTTAGATAGATTAGTTATATTTATTATATTTATTATATTTATTATATTTATTATATTTTATTTACTATTATTTATTTTGTATAAATTCTCTGTATCTTTGACTTGCTAAATGGTAGAGTCTTTACAATTCTCTAATAAATCAATACTTTATCCCTGAAACTTATAATTACTCATTAATCAATTCATTCTTCTTTAAATCTATATCAATAAAGACAATCTGACCCTTCAATTTAATTATTCGTGTTTATTTCTTCTATAGTTTAGACACACTTAAACTTCCTGCTAACAAATAATTTTAACTTAACGATAAACAGTTTAAGTTTAACAACATCATGTATCCAAAGCTTTTTATTCGATGAATTTATGGAATTTTTGCCATAAATTTATGCATATAGTAAATTTATCAACAGTGCCATGATCAGGAGCGTACTTTCTTTTTTTGTTTATTTAGTTATAATTAAGGATAGGTCTGCAAATAGGCAATTGCGGAATAATTGCGATTTACGATATTGCGAACAATTGCGGAAATTAAGGTCCGATTCCGTAATTTCGGCCAAAATTAACATAATTTTG